CATTGCTGAATCTTTCCAACTTTGTGCATATTCTTGCTTATTTAAAAAGAGCTTTTTTAAAAAAGTCTTTTTGATTTCATAGAAAGCCAAGATCTGAGGAACAAGACAACAAAGTACCTATGTATGGCTGATTAATGTACTTATATAAAAAGCAAAGTAAATTTAGGGAATAAAAGCATGTTGTCTTGTGTTGCTCTATAGCTTTACTAAATAGCAAAGTGATTCTCAAGGGGGAGAAAAAACAAATTATATTTTGACTCTGCTGCTATAGGATTGATATTTTAATATGCTTGAAGACATATTACTCTTCCCAGTTTAATACTCTTTGTTGATTTTTTAATCTTGAAAGAACAAATTAATGTTCCATAAATGTGTTAATTTGCAACTGCCAGAAGTTCAATATATTGAAAGGATTCTGAGAGTAGCATGAGAATGTAATTTCATTAGTTAGGTTGATGAGATTATTTTAGATAGTTATGAGTTTATTTATTTTGATTGTTGTATACATTTTTCTTAATAAAACCAAGGCAATATACTTAAAAAATGAAACTTCCAGACTAAGTTAAGACTGTGACATTAAAAATTAAACATTTTTAATTAAAGCTATATCTAAACCATTTAGAAGAAAATTACTTTGGATGAAACGATTTGCTCCCAGAAGTTGTGGATGCTCCATCACTGGAGATTTTTAAGAAGCCATTTGTCCAGGATGGTACAGGGTCTCCTGCTTGAGCACTGGGTTGGTCTAGAAGACCTCCAAGGTCCTTCCCAATTCTGCTATTCTATAATTCTGACCTCTGTACCTGGAGACTTTGTGCTCATAGTCATGTAGTTTTCTGGAAATGGTATCGTTGCCTTTTTTCCAGGATCTTTCTTTGACTTCTTGTCTAGTCTTCAGCACTGATGGTCTCCCATCCTGTACGAATCAGATCTGACCTAATTAGCTTTTTGAGATCAGCTAGAATGTTGCCATTTATCCTGCCTTTAAAACAAATTAGTTTATCATTAGAAAGGATTATTAAGAAGGCACGCTGGCTGTTGTACTGTCTGTAAATTGAAGTATAACATCTTCCCTATCCCTTTTCCCCCCCTCCAGTATGGGCTACTGCATCCTATTGGTCCACGGCTTAAACAGGCTTTGCCTGTGGCTACATAAGTGGGGAATCACCGCAGTGTCCTTCTCGGCTTTGCTGCTGCTTCTGTTCTCTTGGAAAACAGTGAAACAGAATGAAATCTGGTTGTCAAGAGAATCTCTTTTCAGGTAGGATGGCTTTAAAAGAGCTAGTGGACGGAAAAGCCATGTTGGCTTTGTATGAGTATTCCAATGCCTCTCTATTCTGTATGTTTTTGAAACTAAAAAAGGATTTATTGGATTATGAGTGGGACAACATGTATTTTGATTACTGTATAAGCAGTCACAATAGCCAGTTTGGTACAGTGGTTAAAGGCACCAGATTAGAAACCAGTAAATCCTGAGATTCCTTAGCTACAAAGCCAACTCTGGGACCTTGGGTCTAGGTTAGGCATATACAACCTATGGCCCACGGGCCACGTATGGCCCTGGATAGCTAGTAATGCTCCTCTCACAAGATTGTGAACTTTTAACATTATTATGTGACTTGTAATGATAGTTACTATATTATATACTAGCTGTACCCGGCCATGCGTTGCTGTGGCTCAGTCTGGTTAAATGGAAAAGAAGTGTGTTGCTTTTACGCCCAACAGATGGTGCTGTTTTTCAAAAAAAGCATGTTTTTACCCGTCACAGGTGTGACATCTATATAATAGTAGGTATATAAAAACACGTGCGTATTCAAATGCAACGTTGTGTCAAAATTTCAAAGCAATCGGTGAAGAACTTTCGGAGATTTAAGATTTTGAACAAACGAACATTTACATTTGTATTTATATAGATTTTATATTCACTCAATGTGATCCAGGCAATCCAAAAATTCCTAGGATCAGGCAAGGACAAACTACTTCTGAAAATCTGGCTAAGAAAACTACAGAGACCAGACCAGGCAGTTGCTAGGAGTCAAGACTGACTGACCCAAAGTCACACAATCAGACATACACGGACACAATCTGTAGCAGGGGAGTAGAAAGAAACTGAGTGATGCAATCAGACATTTAAAATGCTGCCTTTTAAGTCTGTTCTAGTTTCTCCTTTATTCTTCATTTTTTCTTTGAGCCAAATGACCCAACTGGGAATGTGACGATCACCCTGTCCCCACTAAGTGTTTTTCACTGTGGTTTTATGCATATACGGCAAACACATTTATTTAATAAGCACCTCATACAAATACTTGAAAGAAATCAATGGCAGGAAATTTAATCAGAGGCTGCATGGGAGACAGTTTGTTATGGTAGAGCGCTGTATTAATGTAGATTCTCAAGGCAATAGAGAAAAAATAGATTTTTTCTCTCTCTTTATGATGTGATTCATAGATGATAAATTAGCATTTTGGCTTGTTCCTCTCCAAATAAACCATGGTTTAAAATTTCGATTTGTTAAGAAAACGTCAAAGACCTTATGGAGAAGCTTCATGGTTGGTTACTGGCTGTCAGGAGAGCATCATCTGAAGCCTCAGGAGATACTCCAAGAGTTTCTATCAAATTATTTTTTTAATGCAATAGAAGTGGAAAACTTAAATATGTGTAGACTAATGACAATAAAAGCAATTTGGTAACTTGAAGGCATGTGTAGTTTTTATGGCAATTGAATGGAAATGATTAATATTTGCTTTTTTAAAGATGTTTTTGACTTCCCAGTCTAGTCTACAACCTTCCCCTTCTGCCTGCCAAACAGGTCCAATTTAAAGTAATTTCTTTTCATAGCTCCAACTGCTTTTTTTTCACCATCATCCTCCACTTTTCGCGGTGTGCCTATCAGCACACCACTCAAAAGCTAAGCGTGCTTCCTTTACCTCCATCCCTAATTTAATTTCCCCCCTAGACAGGAGAAGCAAAATCAGGGAATATGTGACTTGTTCATGATAACCTTTAGAACCAAGTGATTTCAGAACTGACCTACTATTTCATCATATAAAGGATCCCACAAAAAAAGGTGCCAAGCTCTGAACTACCACATCAGCAATGGACAACCCTGAATAGAATTCGCACTTCACACGGCATCTGCCAAGACTCTGTATAAATGGGGCATAGCACCTTCCCCTCTTTGTGACTGCGTGATCCCACGACAAACTGTAGACTACATCATGACCAGCTGTAAGCTTGGGGCATATACCAGTCCAGTATTTGATTTTTTAAATATAAACAATGCTGCACTTCAATGGTTAGAAGGCCTAGACATTGAATATAGATCTTTTTAACATTTATATTTTATTGCGTTCTACTAATCTAGATGAAATGTTAATATATACTGCTAGTCCATGTATGATATGCCATATGCTAAATAAATAATTTCATCAGGTCTACCTCCTTGTTGAAACACTACTTCTCTTAGTCCTAAAATGGGAGTTTTATGGGAAGCTGGTAATGTGTATTCTGTGTGGACAATCTGTGTCCTAAAAAATAAAACATATTTTTGACACATAGCAGTTCCATCTCAAGTGGACCGTTTATGCATAGCACTGCGTTATAGGTTGGTCTGTGAGAAAGACCATAGCAACCTATTAGGAAGGAAATCATATTGTTCTCAAACAGTATAATGGTGAGGTTTTTCCCCTTTATTTCCTATTCTCAGCTAGTTCAATTGTTATATATTTTCTTCAGGGAACAATATCGGATTTTATTGGGCAAATGTTCATGGAAACTATGAGTTGGATTATTCAACGAGAAATGGAAAAAATGTTTCATTATTGTTCCTCACATTTCCCTACGTGGCTATGTTATGCATACTTATTTTTTCCTATTTTAATTAGAAAATGATTTTCCAGGTAAATCTGGCACCAGATTTCAGGCTTTTCAGGGCAACTTAACAGAATACTTAGAAGTTTCCTAAGTATCAAAATGTCAGATTTTGCTTGTGTTGATTACCATGAAGAATCTATAAGACTAGCATCATCCAATCAAATTTAAGCCTGGGATTTTTGAGAGTTATTATAGCTCTCCCTGAATATAACTTTTGGACAAAAGTCTATTAAACTTTTATTTGGCCCTCACCTCCATCTGAATGGTGTTTATAAGAGTTTTCTTGCTCTTTTCAGTTTCACATGAGCTTTCTGTTGCACATTGAGAACTGTCTCTGTTAGTGAATTGAAGGGAGGAGCTTCTGAGTTTAAGAAAGCTGTGTGGGTAGTATTTGGAAAATATTCTAGAGCAGTGTTTCTTAACCTTGGCATCTTTAAGATATGTGGATTTCTATTCCCAGAATTCCCCAGCCAGCATAATGGAGAAATACTGCTCTAGGCAGATTTCTGCAAAGTACAGACCCAAGCATTAATGAACACCTTTCTAACTTGGGAGTATTTTTATTCAATCTCTTTTTGGAAAAGTATATCCTTATTTTTCTCTCTCATACTTCAGAAATCTTGGTAGTTGGAGATTCTGCAACCCCCCCCCAAAAAAAAGTAGTAGAAGCACCCAAACTCCCTCCACCTCTTGTCTTCTACACCAGAGGTCCCCAACCTTTTGGGCACCAGGGACCGGTTCCGTGGAGAGAGGTTTTTCTGCGCACCAGAGAGTGTGTAGTTTTGTGTGCTGCCTGCATCCCATGGATGGGGCTTTGCTTGTTTGTGCGGCCCAGTTGCTGGCATGCCACGAACCGGTACTGGTCCATGGACCAGGGGTTGGGGACCCCTGTTCTACATCACCATCACCATCACTTCCTCATTAATTATACTTGGCATTGCTTTTTCTCAAATATTTCATAGCTGTTAAACTAAGGCAGTCTTTCTTGGGCTGTTGTCTATGAGTTTTGGGGTTCACTGTCCATTGCCATAGTGATCTGATAGTTGTTCTAAGGCAGCTCTCAGTGAAGAGGACTACTGAATCAACCAAGGTCATATTACAATCATATTTATCATTATTATTACGGGAAGGTGTGTGAAAGAGAAAGAGGGGGATAATGGACGATAAAGAAGAAATGGAAAAAAATAAGGAGCAAGGAAAAGGAAATACATTTCCCTAGCCACTGAGAGCTGTGTCTATGTCCTTACTAGCTGTATGCCATCTTAGCTACTTTCTCCTTCTGGGAATGCAGCTGACCATCCTGACACTGATGTCCATCCCTATTCCTTGGCTCCAATAAGTCTGTGTCCGAGCAGGGATTTCTTTAGAGACAAAGCTGCAAGCTTGAATTTTTATACAATGTGTTCTTTTCCCATTATGGTGAAATACCATGAATTCGTCCTTCATTTAGTATTCCCCACATGTACTAGCACTACAAGTCCCAGAATTCTTAGCTAATATGAATCACCACTGTAAAATTCTTCATGATACGATCATTTCATGTATTTATTTTTGAGCAGGCTTCTTTCTCATTTGACGTTCTTTGAGGCAGAATGAAAAGTAAGTGAAAAGTCAATAATGTTTAAACCAAGTAATTCACATTGCTGTTCCTGTGTGGTTTGTTTTCCATAGATCAGGAGTCCAAACTCTACCCCATAATGCCAAGGTTCACTACAACTATGCTAATTTTCTGAAAGACCAAGGCCGTGATAGAGAAGCCATCTACCATTACAAAACGGCACTCCAGTAAGTTCTCAGAAATATTCATAACATTCATTTGTCCTTCTTCCACCATGGAAAAAAACAGACTGATAGCTGGGATATACGACTGATTTATCCAGGGTGCAAAATTCAAGGGAAGTTTGGGGCTGCATATAATAACTCTTTAATTTCCACTTTCATGAGGCCTGTCTCAAACCTCTAGAGTAGCATTAGACACACATTTTGAGATCTGAAGGATCAAGCTTAGAAATTTGAATTGAACAGGTTCTAATCAGTACAAAGTTGCAGAAGGGGTCCAGCTGGGCACCCTAAAAATTTTGTTCTATCATTTTAGCTTTGAATAATTTGAGTGCTGAAGGGATATAGTGGCCACCTCTTGTCTTGAGTAATTTGACAACGGCAGATGAGATACAGATGAATATTTCCTTTAAATTATCCAGTTGATCAATTAATTCCCAGATACTTTTACTTTCTGAATTGGAGTTCATGCATTCTTTTGGAGAGAGCTTATGATTAATGCACTTCCTTGTCATAATCTCCATGCTTATTGTCAAAGGATGTCAAGTTTACAACTAGCCTGGTAAGAGGATGTTTATGTCTAAATATAACATATTGGCAAGGCTTTGCGGTTCTGGTTGCATAAATACATATATAATGCTATCAACATGCATAATCATTACCAGGGGATATTTTTATGTTTCTTTAGAGAATGCTTTGTGGGCAAACGAAATATATGAATGTATTGCACTGGAAACGGAAAACTAACATCAGCACAAAAGAGATTGAGAAAGAGAAGAGGGGGAAGTTGGCTGAAAATAATTTTCCAGCTCCAACAGATCTCTTGCACATGTTGTGAAAAGCTGTAATGTAATTTGATTTTGGCATAGTGGATTATTTTAATACAGCCATTGCGGATTTGTAAATCATAATTTATGTTTGTGCACAGGAGGTCCTTGGCTTACAATCATTCATTTAGCGACCATTTAAAATTATAGCAGCACTGAAAAAAGGCACTGGCAGCCAGTCCTCACACTTGCAACCGTTGCAGCATCTCTACAGTCACGTGATCAAAATCTGGGTGCTTAGCTATTGCCATGTATTTACATCGGTAGCCATGTCCCAGGAACATGGGATCACCCTTTGCACCTTCCCAGCCAGCTTCCAAGAAGCAAAGTCAGTGGGGCAGCTGGATTCTCCTAACGACCACGTGATTCACTTAACAGCAGTGATTTGCTTAACAAACATGGCAAAAAGGTCATAAAATTGGGTGTGATTCACTTAAGAATCACTTTGCTTAATATATGGAAATTCTGGCTCCAGTTATGGTCCTATGTGGAGAACTACCTGCACACACACACACCTTCTCTCTGTGTGTATCTCCTATCTATCTATCTATCTATCTATCTATCTATCTATCTATCTATCTATCTATCTATCTATCTATCTATCTATCTATCTATCTATCTATCTATCTATCTACCTACCTACTGTAATTATCTCTATCTATCTACTGTAATGATTATTTGTCTGTCTGTCTGTCTATCTATCATCTATCTATCTGTAGCGCTACCCCCAAAAGGGCCGCTGGAGTCCGGGTTCTCCTGGCCATCTTCGGCTGTCTGCCGGTCCACAGTGGTCCCTCACTTAGGCACCTCTGCTTGGCTGGAACACGTGATGAGGTGGTGGTCAGTCTCGCTCAGCAGGCAGGTCATGTGATGAGGTGATGGTCAATCTCTCTTAGCAGGCAGGTCATGTGCAGGGAAAGTGTTCAGGTGGCTGGTCAGCTCGTCCTCCTCCTCCTCCTCCTCCTCCTCCTCCTCCTCCTCCTCCTCCTCTTCTTCTTCTTCTTCTTCTTCTTCTTCTTCTTCTTCTTCTTCTTCTTCTTCTTCTTCTTCTTCTTCTTCTTCTTCTTCTTCTTCTTCTTCTTCTTCTTCTTCTTCTTCTTCTTCTTCTTCTTCTTCTTCTTCTTCTTCTTCTCCTCCTCCTTCCTTCCTTCCTTCCTTCCTTCCTTCCTTCCTTTCTTTCTTTCTTTTTTTTTCTCTCTCTCTCTCAGGCTTGCCCCACAGAAGCCTCTCCTATCCTATCCCCTTTTCTCCCTCAGGCTTGCCCCACAGAAGCTATCCTACCCCCTTCTCTCCCCCAGGCTTGCCCCATATAAGCCTCCCATATCCTATCCCCTTCTCCCTCAGGCTTACCTCCTAAAAGCCTCTCCCATTCTCCCCTATTGTCTCCTCTCCCAGGCTTATCTTCTCCAACCTAGGCCTCAGCAGACTCAACTCCTCCCTGCCCTCTCCTGACTCCTCCCCCAGGCATCTCCCCATGTCTCTTCAGCTCACCCTACCCCCGTTAATATCTACCTATCTACCTATCTACCTATCTACCTACCTACCTATCTTCTATCTATCTATCTATCTATCTATCTATCTATCTATCTATCTATCTATCTATCTATCTATCTATCTATCTATCTATCTATCTATCTATCTAATGGTGTTGTTTCCCATGAAAGCAATGCTAGATAACAAGGACTACCTCTACATGAACCAAGTTATGATTCATGTAATAAGCTTTGCGTAAGAAAATCTGATTTTCTTTTCTCACAGCATCAAAGCCCAACCACAGAATCTCTGCCTTTGCTCTTGTAGGGAAAAAAAGCATCTTGAAAAGATTTGACCAACTTGCTCTCTTAGGTTTCCGGCAGAGCTTATTGTACCCACAGCCTGGGCCATCTTTCAGCCACCTTTTCAGCATTCCAAAATGCCAAAGTTTTAAACATACACAACAAAAAGGGGAAATATGGGACGGACTCACAGGGACTGAATTTGATTAATGCAAATTGAATTAAAGTAAAACCTACAAGAAACTTAGTCTTGCCCTGCTTCACTGACTTTAGTGTGAGGCCCCTGCATAGAATGGGTAGCAACTGCCTTCCCTTGGGGTATTAAGCAGAATGGAACCAATTTGGAGACAGACTGTAACCGAGGGCGAGGTCTCTGCATAACTGGGTTTGTCACGTGTTATCCTTCTGACCAATTCCTTGTAGCACTCCCTTCTTTGGCATTATAAGCTCCCGAGGACATAATAGATTCGGAGCCGGCCCTTGGTTATAATGCCATTTTTGTCAGCTGTCTTCAGGTAACTTGGTCCATTGTGGCATTTATTCTTTTTTTTTTTATTGAAAAGTTTTATAAAAGTTACAATATAAACCCCCAAACCAACCCACCCTAACCCCCCTCTCCCTCCCCCACTTCCCAGAGCTGAATACAGGGTTAAAAATATAATAATCATAATCTAACTAACATTAACCAACTATATAAATAACCAAGTCCATAATGCGCTTTAACTCCCCTTTAACATAAATATAATAATAATAATTAAAACATAAACAAATTAGTATCCTAATTATTAAACAATAGAATATCCATATTGTTAAACAATACTAATACTAAAAGTAATAATAATATCATATAATNACCCCCTTCTCTCCCCCAGGCTTGCCCCATATAAGCCTCCCATATCCTATCCCCTTCTCCCTCAGGCTTACCTCCTAAAAGCCTCTCCCATTCTCCCCTATTGTCTCCTCTCCCAGGCTTATCTTCTCCAACCTAGGCCTCAGCAGACTCAACTCCTCCCTGCCCTCTCCTGACTCCTCCCCCAGGCATCTCCCCATGTTTCTTCAGCTCACCCTACCCCCGCTAATATCTACCTACCTACCTACCTACCTACCTATCTATCTATCTAATGGTGTTGTTTCCCATGAAAGCAATGCTAGATAACAAGGACTACCTCTACATGAACCAAGTTATGATTCATGTAATAAACTTTGCGTAAGAAAATCTGATTTTCTTTTCTCACAGCATCAAAGCCCAACCACAGAATCTCTGCCTTTGCTCTTGTAGGGAAAAAAAGCATCTTGAAAAGATTTGACCAACTTGCTCTCTTAGGTTTCCGGCAGAGCTTATTGTACCCACAGCCTGGGCCATCTTTCAGCCACCTTTCCAGCATTCCAAAATGCCAAAGTTTTAAACATACACAACAAAAAGGGGAAATATGGGACGGACTCACAGGGACTGAATTTGATTAATGCAAATTGAATTAAAGTAAAACCTACAAGAAACTTAGTCTTGCCCTGCTTCACTGACTTTAGTGTGAGGCCCCTGCATGGAATGGGTAGCAACTGCCTTCCCTTGGGGTATTAAGCAGAATGGAACCAATTTGGAGACAGACTGTAACCGAGGGTGAGGTCTCTGCATAACTGGGTTTGCCACGTGTTATCCTTCTGACCAATTCCTTGTAGCACTCCCTTCTTTGGCATTATAAGCTCCCGAGGACATAATACGGTAGATTCGGAGGTGGCCCTTGGTTATAATACCATTTTTGTCAGCTGTCTTCAGGTAACTTGGTCCATTGTGGCATTTATTCTTTTTTTTTTTTTATTGAAAAGTTTTATAAAAGTTACAATATAAACCCCCAAACCAACCCCCCCTAACCCCCCTCTCCCTCCCCCACTTCCCAGAGCTGAATACAGGGTTACAAATATAATAATCATAATCTAACTAACATTAACCAACTATATAAATAACCAAGTCCATAATGCGCTTTAACTCCCCTTTAACATAAATATAATAATAATAATTAAAACATAAACAAATTAGTATCCTAGTTATTAAACAATAGAATATCCATATTGTTAAACAATACTAATACTAAAAGTAATAATAATATCATATAATTAAAACTAATAAAAATTTCACTATAATAAACTATTAATACTAATAATACTCTAAAATTTACTCATAAGCTAAATGGAACTTTTTAGTCCCATATTTATTCTGAATATAATCTATCCATCTTCTCCAAAC